GAAATGGGTTGGTAAGCGCGGCTGAACCCTCCAGGTATTGATGCGGGGGTTAATAGCCTGTTGGCCTCTTTAATGGAGCTGAATCAGGTCAAGCAGCAAGCGTTGTCAGCCCACAGGATGAGAACATCTCCCTTTATAAAGTCATCTCCTATACGAGGGGGGGGGGGCGGCGGCGCACCAAAAGGTGTAGAATACAAACTGTGGTTCACACAGAGAAATGTGTGACTTGCATTTAGACGTGTATTAAAACGGGAACAAACAAGCTAAGGTGCCAGACTTCACATAACACAGGTATGGTTGTGAAAGTCAAAATGACTTTCAGTGCGATGTTCCCACCGACTGACATCAACTCGCTCGCGCTGTATTGTACTTTGGAAGTTAGACGTTAGAAAAGCACAGAAAAAGTTTGGAGTCTGCAGGAACAGTGGTGCTTTGAGTTTAATGCTAAAAAAAACTGTAGGCCTATGACTTAAATTAATAAAAAAACTTTTATGACATTTCTTTGATTAACTGACTTATTTTCTGAGATCCTTAGGCATGTCATAATACTGAGAGTATTCCAATATTTCATATGACTTTCTTATTACTTTTATGATATCTATACGATGACATACATTAAAATGTTTCAACATTATACAATGGTCTCTCATATTTTCGACATAATATAGGCCTACTATGTTGTTTTTATTAAAAAAAAAATTGACATACTATACTTTTTGTAAAATAAAAACGTCGACTCGATACTCTGTAAACGACATACTTCTCAATGACCTCCTATGATATGCCTTTTTTAATAAAAAATGTATTGATGATTTATTACACAATACCTGCATTATGACCTGTTTATGAATTTTTCATGACATACCATGATATCACTGTTTAATAAAAGTTTTTTTTTAAATACTATTTTGTGATGGTAACTGTTAAGCGGTGAATTTCCCTGAAACAAACGAAAATTAGTCAGTTTTAGTTTATGATCAGCCATCAATCTAATCGCAATAGAAAAACATCGGCTTACATTTGGCTCATAGCAAGGTTCCTCTCTGCTATGTTATTATATCCTCATAATTACCCTTAAAAGATTTATTCTGTTACATATGTGTGGTGGTCAATTATTTATTTATACTAATGAGTGTGCTATGCATCCATTATTCATGGTCACATTGGGTCTGTCTTCCTGGTGCACTGCTGACAGAGGGAAATGGAGGGGAAGATGGGAATGGAGGCTTGATTGTACCCTGAAGGACACCAGAGACTGAGCGGGCCGCAGAGGAAAGCTCTCCAACCATTCAGACGTGTAGCCAGTTTCCAGAGGAAGGCACTTAACCTGTGACTAACGTAAAGAATCACATCCAGCTGATTAGAGAAGCCGCTCTGCTCGAGGATCTGATCGAATATTCAACTGCACTTCAGCATGTAATCACACAGAGATCATTCTCCTCTGACGAAGAGCAGCCCCACATGCCATGTACATTCGTGTCAACAAATAACACAAGGGCAATCCCATGAAGCATCATTCACGGTGATTAAATAATAGCTGTTCCTGAATATGACAAGTATGTTTGAACAGTGTCAAAAGTCATAGTTTGTCCGCAGTAGAAGATGTATTCAGATAATTTGCATAAGTAAAGTGTAAAAGCACTACTCCAATATTTAGTATTGCACCTTCATAGGGATGTGGGCAAATACATTTTAGACTACCTAGCAGTATGACTCAGTTTAACTGTCATAGAGGTTACATGTCTGTCTAAATCACAATCACATCATAATTTTAGCCTGTAAGAAATGTCGTGAAATTGTCCTAATTAGCGTCCAAAATGTGTTTTTGAGGTCGCCTTTGACCACCAAAATCCAAATAGTTCGTTCTTTAATCCAAGTTGAAGTTTATGGCACATTTGAAATACATTTCCTCCATTGGTGTGGAAGCTTTTCCTTTCCCGCAGTGTATAGGTTTTTGCACAAAACTTACGGCACTCACTTCGAAAGAACAGAGCATTTCTTACTGATTTTATTCATTCCAATGTTCTTAGTTGTCCAAAATAACTGAGCAGGGCTTTGGTCTGCTTTTCCCCGGATGGTAATACAGTCTTTCTTGCTAGTCCTACAACTACTGCAAACTACTGGTACTAGTATAAATGTTATTTGCAATGGCTGCTTCTACTTGATTGACAGCACTAAGCTATGGGGTAATTGAAGGGGAGTTACATTGACTTTAATAGATGAGATTAGGGAGTAAACGCATCACTAGCAGGAAATGCTTTTTTTTAATGCTGCTTGACACCCTTTGAGTCCTGACTTAAACACCCTGTCTTGGAAATAGCAGAGTGTGTCTGCTGGACCAGTCATCCATATTAAAAATGACTGGTCGTTAAACAGTAGATATTCTCTCCCCTCTTGCAGCAGGAACATCACATTTATTCAGCCGATTTGATCTCTTGTTAGAGTCCTGAAATAGCAGAGTCTCAGGGTGGTGTCAGCAGAAAAGAGCCGGCAGCAGAGTCCTGGGCAGTGTACCTTCTCCTGAACAGCAGCATCACCACTAAATCTGGAACCGTTGATCACACAGCCGGCATCAGAACCAACATCCTGTGCAGTTTTCTGATTGGACCTTTTCCCGGCACCGGCCCACGAGACTCACTAGCTATATTGAGAGGAAATGAAAAAGAGCCCCGGATTGGACATGTTTGAAGAGGAGAACTTTATTTACAACACACAAAGCAGTGGCTGCGAGCCAGCAGCAGCAAAGCTCTCTGTCTATAAACGCCATTTATCAAGGGGGCAACTGGAGTTTGCTTTCCCTCTGCCAAAGGGAGGCCAAGTGAACTTCAGCTAAGCCCATCAAAGAAACCCTCCCTGAACTTAATCTCCTTATCTGCTGACTGGCTATGACCAAAATGACCTTTTTCCGTCTTGATTATTGAGATTATTATATTATCATGTCAGAGCAGAGGATCCCACCTCTATGGTTCTCCTATTACGCGGTCCACAATCCTGCCCGGTCCATTGCAGAATCCACCAGAGTAAAGGTTAACTTAGGTTTATTACCGGATGTTCTCATTACTGAAGCAGTGCAGCGTAGATGAGGAATGAAAGCACCTTTCATTAACTAGTCCACCGTGCTCAATCAGCGGTTCTCCTCTACCTGTCTCCTTTCCCTCTCCTCTAATCTCTGGAGTGGACAACACACGATTAAGCAATAATCCATTTCTCTACTTCCTTTTTTCCGAGCCATTTTCCAAATGTTATGCATTGGCCCTGCTGTGCTTCATTCCCCCTCTCTCTCTCTCCGCTGACCCTCTCCTCCATCCTACTAATCACCTCTCCACACGGCCTACCTGCACCTCGCAGCCGCCTCATCTTTCTCCCTCTCTCTTACCGCCCGCCTCCCCGCTTTCTCTCTGGGTGTCTCATTAAAGGCGCTCTTTCTAATGAGATTACGCCGTGGGGATTAATGGTGTGGCTAATTGATAGACACACAGCCGGAGAGGATTAAATCCCTTTAAGTCCCCAGTGGGTTTCTTGGTGCTTCAGCTGACTAATTGAAATCACAGGAACGGTCACAAATATACTGCCTGACCTCTCCTACTCCTTCTAATGAGTCTGAGATGCATTATAAGAAGGAATAGCGGCTGTTTTTATTAGTAGAATGAAGCCATATCCAAACAATAGAGTTAAAGGTTAACTACGTGATTAACAAAGGGGGTATGTTCCACTTCATGATTTCTGCTTACACTTAAACACTTAAAAATACATTATTAAAAAAAAAAAATGAAGAGGCTGCATCATCAGTGTGCAAATACAGATACAAACCATTTTATGAACAAAGACTCAAAACTTAAAAAGCACTGATATTAAAAGCCACTACGTTGGCAGTCTGCCACATTCACCTTTTACCACTCAGGGGGACAAGAGGACATATTCTGCTCATCAGGTTCATATTTCTATTTAGTGTCTCCACTGGAACATGTCTCCATGCTTTAATGTTCAAAAAGCGTCTGAAACCAGAGCCCAGTCTGCTCTGATTGGTTAGCTGGCCGGTTCTGTTGTGATTGGTCAACCGCTTAGAACTGTCCCGCCCCTTAGCCCATCATGTTCAACANGTTGGAGCGCATACCCAATAGAAGCACAAGTGTTATAGAGTGATGTCACTATGTTTTGGAAGTAAACAAAGGAGTGTGTGCGAGAGAAACTCCTTCTGGAGGGTGTTTGGGATTTTAGCCTTAGCAGAGCATTTACATGCATGAAAACCTACATAACAAACTACAGGAAAGGGAAAACCCCAAAAAGCATAATATGGCCTCTTTAAATTCCAACACATAGCGGCGTTAAGTGTAGCCAGGGTGAGATAGACCTTTAAAAAAATATAGACTTAAAGAGGACCTATCATTCAAAATGCACTTTTGTACGTCTTTTATACATGAATATGTGTCCCCGGTGTGTCAGGGAACTCACCAAGTGTCAGAAAACACAACCCTCTCTCTTTTCCTCCATACCCAAATCTCTAAAAACGGGGCTGCAACGGATCTGATACAGATTTGAAATTGTTCTGACGTCAGAAACGGGGAGCTCCGCCTATATGGGCAACTCTCCACCTATCAGGGGAATGAGAGGTTGCGTGGCATGGTAACAGCATGGTAACAGCATGGTAACAGTATGGTAACAGTATGGTAACATGACGCTCGTGCCACGCCCCCCTCCTTTGCAGGGGGGCGTGGTCAGCTGCAGCTCATTTGCCACAGAATCAGCTGGAATAGAGCAAATAGAGCAAAATGAGGCATGGCTAAAAATGCATGATCTGTTTGGTATTTTGAAAAAAAAACTTCACAGACATGTTTTATGTAGGTATGGCCCTACAATATATTATTCAAATATAGCATGATAGGTCCACTTTAATAAACAAATCTAAAGCGTGATCATTTAAAGCTTGTGATATTATATAACGTGTTGCAATTAGCATACGCCTAAAGATGATGAATGTATAAAAAAAGAGCACATTTTCAAAACATGTCTTGTTTATTTTCTGAAACACACATCCAGTATCTAGATGAATGAATAAAATAATTCCAGGACACTGAATAATAGAACAACTATCAGCAGGCATGGCTAATGAACCGTCCACTGTCCCGAGGCCAGAAGCCAACAATCTGTCCGAGACGATACAGAGTGAAGGGAAAGGCTGTGTTTTCACATATAAAAGGAGTACAAAGCATTTTTTAGAAAACAATCCCAGAAGAAGAAAATAATAGCAAAAACTGAACCAAACATGAATAAGCAGGCATCTTAAAAAATAATTATGGTTTAACAAAAGACAAATAAACTCAAATATCCACACGACAAATGAATAGGCCAAAAATCCCCTAAGCCCGATGAAGAGCCGGAGAAAGAGCAGCAACTTTTAAGTCATCAATACTTCAAAAATAGGTATCTTACAGTATTTTTCTTTTCTCAGTGTCTTTATACAGAGTATATTCATATCGTTTCCGCTGACTATTTTCACATTCTCACCACATAGTAACAAGTGCTTTGAGTAAAACATTTTTAAAAAAAGAAAAAAAATCATGCACCTTTTTAATAGCCTATAAAAAACGGGAATGTTCAAGGCGACAAACAAATCGTTCTCAGATGCCTTTTTTCCAAGTCTTTTCAAGTTCCACTCTCTTAACACTGTCTGACTACTCAGATCATGCCTACATAAGCTTTACACTGTGGAGAAAGCAACACAAAACCATACAGGGCAGGCAAGCATCTCAACATAAAGGCTCCTAACTCATGAATCCACAGAGGAAAGGCAGGCATTCTCCACTAAATTAGAAAATCCCCACATGTATAAAAATGGTTTCACACAATGTCAGCGTGTCGACAGGTGATGCTTGTGAAAGTCAAACTGAGCAGGTCCTTGGAGAAAAACTGTTATTGGCTTCTTTTAGGCCATAATTCAGTGGGTTATGATATCCGGTAGTCTGCCCTGGTTGTGTCCTTCCCTCCTGGGACTGGGGGTTGTTCATCTGCACCACTTTGAAGGAGGGAGGGGGGGGAGGGGGGTGGACAGGCAGGTGTGAGGAGCGCAGAGGGGTGGGAGGGTGGGGTGAGAGCGCACCTCCACTGTACTGCACGAATGGCAACCGATCCTGAGATAGCAGGAGTCTGATACAAAAACACAGCACAAAAGGCACTTTATAAAATGACAGTGCTTCTGTTCTAAGGAAATTCAAGTTGACAGAGTGAAAGAGAGTCAGAGAGCGTCTTCCCACAAACATTCTCTTCAGTGTGAGACTAAAGCAAGAGATGGTGTCGTTTTTAAAAATCAAAGCACAAAGTCACTACTCGTGTCTCTCACGACCGCCTTGATTCGTCCCCAGAGATCCGGGTCCAGCGCGGTGAGAGAACGACAAAAAGAAAAGAAAAAAAAACGTCACACTACAAACTCGCCACTACAAAATATAAAGCCAGAATACAGTCGCGTTGCAGCGGAGTTCATGTTTGTGAGCTCGGTCGCTGTGAGCAAACCAACGCAGCCCGTGTGAGGGTCTGTTCCTCACACTGCGTGGTGTTCGTGGCCCCTGCCAGTGGTTTTTCGAGGAGCATCCATTCAACCGACCCGCCTCTCCCTCCCCTGCCGCTGCCCCCCCGGCCCCCGCTCCGCTCTCAGTCGTCGTCCCCTCCCCCGTAGAGGTCGGCCAGCTTCTTGAAGCGAGGGCCCCAGTCGTTGAGGTAGTCGTAGTCCTGGTCCCCTGAGCTGGTGGAGTTCAGCGAGCTGACGGAGCCGGCGGTGGAGCCGCTGCCCTCGTAGTCGAACACCAGCAGGGAGTCGTAGGGAGGGGCTGTGGGGTCGTTGTCCGCTGCCCTCAGACCCTGGAGACATCAGGACAGACACATGACAAATTCAATATATTCAACCTCCTCTCTACGGCTACAGCAACACATTTGGCCATTTGGGTCTGAAAAGAGCCACAGAGGAAGAGCCTTGAACCTGCTTTGTTTCTCACAGCCAGCAGGTTCAGATTGCATAGAACTCTATGAGACCCTACCTTTCTTGATTTATTACCCCTATCCCCCGATTTGATTATGGTCTGAATTGGATCAAGACTTTTCAATAGAGTGTGATGTTTATTTTGTAAGTTATGGTCATGGTCCTATTTACAGTACCAAAACAGTAAAGCAGGCTATGCTACCATGCTATCCAAATTAGCATCCCAATTTATAGTTAAGTGAATTATGGATTCATCTTGCCAACTAAGTAAGACAGCGATTTCTAGCGTAAGCTGGTAATTTATTGAACCTAACTGTTCTTCAGATCCATACTAATGTCCAAATATGGTCACACTGGCTCTGAAAAACAAGATGGCGCGGAGCAACACTCTTCAAAGTGGTAGTCCACAAACCACTGGGTGATGTAACGGTGGCTACATTCGATTATTATATCCGGTCTATGCAGTTACAGCATTCCCTTTGGGGGCGATCCTGGCTCCAAAATGGTGGAATGAGCTCCCCATTGAAATCAGGACAGCAGATAGCTTGCACATCTTCCGGCGTAGACTGAAAACTCCTCTCTTTCGACTCCACTTCGAGCGATAGGATTACTAACAACGAACTGCTAACAGAGCACTTATATACTAATAAAGGACTGGCTTATCTAAAGCCAGTTGAGTAGCACTTGAAATGTTTGGCTCTATGAAACCTGATGTGCTTATATGATTCTGTTTTCTTCAAGGTTGTGTCCTCCTGGTCGAAGGTACTTTTGTGACTCGCTTTGGATAAAAGCGTCAGCTAAATGTAATGTAATGTAATGTATGGTTGGCCCTATATACTGTATCAGCAAGGTATTTTAACAACATTGGCTTCAGGCCAGTCATTGTACACCAACACTATAACTGAGATGATTACGTTTCACAGGGCTACAGCAGGTTCAGGTGGCCAGACTGTAAAAGATGCAGTAAACCTCGTCTCATCTTGCTCACCCACCCATTAGGGTTTTAATGCTCCATCAAGGTCTGAGCTGAGCTTACAAGGCACACACACTTTGAGCAGTACCCCTGCTGACGGGAACAAAAACACTGAACCCCTGTATGTTGTGTAAACCTCTGTATGAGTCACATCAATGAAGTCTCCGGACACTGCAACAACACACTGTTCAGAAAAGTTGAGGAAAAAACACAACATGAAACCACTCAATCCATTCTTGTACGTACATCGTTAATGAAATCTCCGATATCTCCAGGGTGGGGCAGGCTGGGTCTGACGGGGTACTGTGACTCAGCGATTACGGGTCTCTCGTCCACCCTGCGCACCCCCGCCGGCTTGTTGATGATGTGCTCTAAAGACTCGGGCTGCTGCAGCTGGCTCAGGTCGTAGTCCTGCATGAAGCCCAGAGAGAGAGAGAGAGGGTTGAGAGACAGCTCATCCATTACTTCTGATCCTTTATTGGTCATTTAGAACTTGTGTTCATAATTAGATCTTCTATACTCTTATTAACCTTTTCCTTTTGTCTCTAAATACAGCGCTGTACATGCATTGTGCTTTGCTGGGTTTCTAAGTTGGTACACACACTTTCTCCTCCGTCCACCCTCACACACTTTGATGTGCCTTCTTGTTATGTGTGCAGGTCTCAGGGCTGACCTGCATGAAGCTCTGCTGCAGGGCTTTCTGCTGGACCTCTGAGCCCTTTTGTAAATCTGCACTGCTGCAGTCTTTGCCTGAGGGAATTACCCACAATTCATGGTGTTTTATTGTTTGAACAAGTCTGAAATGCACAAAAAGCACCATTTTCGACATGTGAAGTTGATGTTAAGAAGTACAAAGTGTACTGTGAGCCAGAAATGGTTCAGATTTTGAAATGCCTGGGGATATATATATATAAGACTAGATCTCTTTAACAGTTTTGTGATACATGTAATGTTTTATGCATGTGAAGTATGGGTCTTTTCTGTCATTTTAAAGAGATTTCATCTTAAATTCCTTAAGTATGTATTAAAAGCTAAAGTTAAAATGTGGAGTAAGGACGATACCCATAACGTTTCGGGTGAGAAAAGAGAAAATGTGAATTACCGACGATGATATTTGTTCAGCAAATATTAGGGGAATGTAATTTTTTATAGCTTTGGTTGGAACAGAGGTGTGGTAATGTCAAACCGCTGAAGCTATCAGTGGAGCAAAGGGGGCTCTTTGAGCTCCAGAGTATGTTATCATGTCACTTATATCATTACATGTTACTTGTTAGACGCTTTTATTGAAAGCGACTAACATTCTCAATACAGTGGGCAATCCCCACAGGAGCAATTTGGGGTGAAGTGTCTCAGGGACACAACGACATGCTGACTGCAGTGGGGGTTTGAACCTGTGCTCCCCTGATCAGAACACACTAGTCCACTGCGCCACACACCTCCACTTATATCAGGATTTAAAGAGGATTTTAAGTTGAAAAAGTACTTTAAAATGTTTTGTAATCAATGTAATGAGAAATGCCTGGGGGAAAAATATCATGCTTTGCTTGAATGTAAAGACATTGTTGGCATATAAAGGAGGGACTGTCCAAATACCTAAAACTCCATTCCATAATATAAAGTGGTTAAAAATAATGTGACATTTGAGCTTCAGACTGCTCTCTAAGTGACATCTTTGACAGGTCAGCACACACTGTGCCTGTCTGGTATTAAACCTCAGAGGAGCTTTAGAGTGAACACACACGGCAGCGATCTGATGGTAGTGTGTGTGGGTGTTAGAAAATAGCAAGAAATCAAAATGGCATAATTAACAATACTTTTCTGGATTAATCAAAGCTGTTGGAGCCTAACATTGTTGCAAATGTTATGAGATAAGGAGAGGGGGTGTGCAGTAGGCGTAAACTTATATTGCTATTTCTGAGAGGTAAAGGGGCTCCTCGTGTGAAAAAAGTTGAACATCGAGCAGGCAGCATTCTCATCCAAGGCACGAGTTTGTAGGGCAGAGTGAACTCTGAAAACTTTCATTCTCCACAGACTCTCTCTGCGGCTCAATGCTGTCCAAACTTACAATTCATTTTACAATTTTGGTGGATTATCTCATTTTCTGTGTTCTATCACATTAATTGATTGCAAGGAGCTCGGTGATTAAAAGTTTCATCTGATATATAACCTGGTGTATTGATCATGGTTTTAGACACCTCACTTACACTTTGCTGTACATTATTAGTAGTTTAGCTGCAAAACTCAATTAGACAGGCAATGAGTCAGGAATTATTATGAAGAGAAATGTTCGTCATTAAAGCCCAAATACCAAACACTTACTGGGTTTTCTCTGTGATATATGATACAAGTATGGGGTTGTGGACAGCTAGATGAATACAACAAACAATCTGTCACCTTTTTTAAGACATTGCATTTACAATAATGAGAAAATAATTGGCAGATGAGTTGAAATTCTAAATTGCAGCTATAATTCATTGAAACATGACATTGTTCTTAATGTTGTGGCAGGCTGACTAACTGTGCTTTTGTCCTCTTGGAATATCTGTTGGTTGGATTTCACTCTGCATGGCCAAACTAGTTTCCCTGCATGAGGACTAATGAAGATATCTAATCTTATCGATTCATACATTTCTGATCTTCTATAACAGTAGAAGTCAAAGAGGTCACTGCGGGTGAAAAGCCTTTTATGTATTTTGTTAATTATGGTCTTCAAACGTTACCTGATCCTCCTCTCCCCCCCCCTCCTCGTCGTACTTCAGGATGTTGTCCCTGACGTCGTCCTCGGGGTCGATCAGCAGCGGCTTCGCCTGCCGCTCCTTCTCTCTGCGCTTCATCCACACCACAAACAGCAGAACCATGGCTGGGGAAAAAACACAGCAGAAAGGTTTGTTTCGTGGTACGCCACATTCTGATATAATGATGCAAAAGCGCGTCGGCTTGATGCTCCACTCACTGAGCAGGATGATGATGCAGATGAGGATGGCGATGATGGCGCCGGTGCCGAGGCCGGCGGCGGCCACCGCGCCCGTGGCGCTGCAGTCCCCGTTATCATCACAGGGACAAACTTTGACTCTGATCAGAGAGCGGTTGGACAGAGGAGGGTTCCCCGAATCGTGCACGATGATCGGGATCTCATACACCGCTGCCTCCAGGTAAGGAATCCTTAGCTTCAGCTGGGTGTAATCAGCTGGGGGTGGAAGAAAAACAGGGGAAAGGGGGGAAAGGAGGACAGAGAAGGAAGTGAGTAGGAGGGGAAAGAAGAAGAACAAGGGGATAATAAGATCAGACAGTGTACTCACATTTTGTTTACTGCAGTTTATCATGTCGTCATGTGCGTAGGTTCAAGAAAACGACACGCCAAATAAAAGTTGCCACCAAACAAACCGCACAGTAATCATTCTGACATGTATGTAAAGGCAGTAAAGATATATAAAAAAAGCACCCAGAACGCATAACCTTCAGCATCTTTCACTCAGTCAAGCTAAGACAAGAGTCTCAGTGGGAGAAGGATCCAGGTATGTGATCAGATTTGTCCTCAAGACAACTGCTGTGATACATCCATCTGGGTGGATTAGGTGACAGATGGGCTGCTCGGGGGACAGAGAGATGAATGGATCTCATTTGTCACAAGCGCTAGATCGTACGTCAACACTGGATGGCATCCGCGTCTCTCACTGTGAGCTTTGTGAGACATTTTGTTAAACTTGGACTTCTCTCGCAGCTTACAGCAATCCCCGGTCCCCTGATTGATGTCTCCAGTTACTCTGCTGAGGGCTTTTGCATCCCATCTGTTACGTTTATGGTTTAATTCGGCTGGAGATGCTGAATATATCATTCCCCACATACATCCTAGATGTAACATCACCAGAGTAGGCAAAAACTATTTGCAGTAAGAATGGCAGCTGCAGTAAAGACGATGTATAGCGTTTAATTACCGCTGATCCTGGAGATAGTCCAGTTGCGTCGAACGCTGGCGGGAAAAGAAGGCAGCTCGAAGACGAAGGGCCCCACGTTGGGGTCTGCGTCGGCGTCTGAGGCGGTGATGTTGACCCTGGAGTTGGGGCGCGCTCGCTCGCACACCTGCGCCTCCCGGGGCACCAGCACCGGGGCGTTGTCGTTCACATCGATCAGGTAGATCTGGAGAGTTCCTGTCCCGCTGGCTTGGGGCGAGCCTGAGGGAAACGTGAGAGGAAACGAGATCAGATGGTGAGATAATAACGTAGAGATAAGGAGGAAAAAAGGAGATGGAGCAAAGAAAGAATACAAAATGGAGTTACGATGTTGAGAAAGAAAAAACAATCCTTCAATTTTAATTAGATTTTTTTATCTTATTTGTCTGTGGAAGTGAGAAAATGTGGCAAAGAAACAATTGTGTAGACATAAGTTTTGTTTACTGACTGCTGAATGGAGGGGCAATTCTGTGTATATTTCTACAAAGCACCCAGAACAAACCAAAAGGACACATACATTTTGTATTCCTTGTGTTTAGAGCTGGCTGCTCTCTGAAAAGGCTGAGGCGAGACTCGTATGGGAGGGGACACACTCACATAAAGATTGCTGTTATCTGTGCTCTGCAAAGCCCACTGGGAGAATGACTCAAACGCTAACCCTTCAGTGCATCCAGCAACACAAGCTCATCATAACTTATTCAGGGTTTCTCACGAGTGCCAGGCCTGAACAGAAGCATCAGGTTGGGCGACACATTTTTGATGTTTTATGCATCAGCAGCAAATCTCTAATGTGCTTGGATAACAGAACATAACTGAAGGAGAAATGTTGTTTTCCTGCCACACTGTTTCTGTTGCTCTTGGTGCTGTACGACAAGGCGCTGGGAATAAGTGTCTAGTTGTTTTATTTTAAGTGCTCTGCCTGCTTTCAGAGAAGGGAACAGGAAGTTGTTTCTAAAGCTGTGCTACATAGAAACATTTGTAATGAGGCTGACCTCTAGTGTGAGGTTAAGTATTACATATCTTGTGCTGAAAGTGATATTAAAAACAAAATGCTGTTTTTTGTCGAATAGCGTACTGTTGGGATGGTTTTCTAGGACATCTCAGATGTTAGCATCGCTCTGGTTCCCTTGACTAAGAGCCAATGGGGTTCTTTCATCAGACTTGAGATTATTGCTGAAAATAAGCTCTATGATAAAAACAAGTTTATAATACTTAACACGTTTTGCTCAGCAAGTTGTAGGCTATAAACAACCTACATCACTTCTGCATGACTAATGGTGGACTTATATTAAACTTGATGACATTAGTAGTCTGCTTTTCCGATTGGTCAATTTGGACATTCAAGAGGTTGTTACTTCTCGCGAAAAGATCGCTGCTAAGGATAACAGACTGTTGCTAGGGAGGATCAAGGGACTATATGCAGTCATATCAAAGCTCTGAAAGAAGGCCAATACATTTAACGTCAGCTCTGGACAATGTGAACAGACTTTGTTAGTTACAGAAAACCTCGATAAGTTCTAGAGAAGTGAAACCACTTCTGATCTTAACATAAGATCCCTGAACTACGGCTGAAGAAGTGTGCTGCTCTGTTGAACAAACAGACTGCAGTGATATATTGTGGCCTTGATATCCAGTTGACAACCCTCCGCACTACGGCTGTCAGCGAGCCCAACACACTTCCTGATGCAATGCAGCATGTATAGAGTTTACAGCAGTAGCTCATCAGGGCTGTTTCTCAACTTTTTCCCCCCGTATCCCACAGTAGCTTGGAGCATCAACTATGTAAAGGTCTGTTGCCCCGGGTCCCAAGGCGCATCGACCGAGTTGTCGGTTATGATTGGCTGGGTGCTTCGTTGCTACATTCGCTTTGCTTGAGTAGAATAAGTAAAGAGAATTTCAATCAAAGTGGAATATATCCCCTTTGTTGACACTAGGCTCCTGAATCAATAGGGAGGCAAAACTTTGAGCTTAAGGTGGTGTGCTTCGGGGCAACCGATCCCTCATTCCTCTCTGGAGTTAAAACACCTGTGTCCCTCCCACTTACAGAGAGCAGGCACCTCTATTTATAGAGCTTCATCTCTTCAGCTTCCGACGTTGATGGAAGCTGAGGATGACTCTAAAGACCTTCATTTACAGATCTATTTGTATCACACAGAGGGCAGTGAAGGTCAACGCATAGTTATGTACAGTATATTACGCCTGCACACAATGCCTTACTCACTCAAAGTCTACAGGGAATCTGACTGGAGAGTAACACGGCTCTGAAGTATTTAACATCTACAACCTCCATTCATCAAATACCTCACTAATAATCTACAATATCTTTGCATTTGTGAAGCTTTGGGCCATAAAATGAATTTAATATAATGTAAAAAAGGGAGTTGGCCTTGTTTTGTCACAATGAGTTTAATTAAGTAAAGTTCAGTCCTCTCGTGGACCTTTCCTGTAAATTGAGATGAGTCTTTGTCAGATAGAGAAAAGTAACAATGTGTAGAAATATCTTAAATTTGTTTTTTGTAACAGCTAAGAAGGACATTTTCCAGTGTATACACGCAAGTAACCCTACACTGTTATGGAAAGTAACAGCACGACACCTTCCCTGAAGCTAAGGACACGATTACGGGGGGTCAGGCTCTTAAATCACCATGCTGGGCTCAGTGGTGGATGACTGTCAGCCAATGGACAATCGCATCGTTCACAGGCCAACCGTAAACCCATATATTATATAATGCATGATGTTTCCTAATGTGATCCTAGTTCTAGTGATCAGAGTAGTGAGGAATATGCCAGATAATATGTTTTGTGATTATCTTGTTGCTCTAAATGCCCACTACCTTCATCTGTAGCCTGTGCTGCACTCTCATTTGGATAATGAATGATGATGAAAAAATATGACAGCTTCCATCCATCAGTCAGATGATGATTGATGTGTTGTAAAACAAACTAATGGAGCTTGATAATAAAAACCAGTGGCAGGGAAGGGTCCCCTGTAGCCCCTGACAGAGGGCCTGGTATCCAGTCATTTTGCAAAAGTGGATCCTTGGCAAAGCAAGTTGAGTAACCCTGCGCTATTCGAAAAGTGAGGGGATCACGAGGGTCATCAAAGGACTCATCTAATGGGATAGCATCGATGTAAAACTACTGGCTATCTTTCCAATGCTTTGATTTGCTGATGTGACAAAGAAGTGCCAACTCTATGTAGGGATGACTATTGAGATAAAAAACTAAAACTGTTGAGTGATGAATTGATTCTGATTTTGGGGGTGGGTTAAATGAAACAGATGCTATCCCAAATCTTTGTTCCTTAAATGTTATTTCACGTTTTTTTCATCTATTACTTGTTGGTGTTAAGAAGCTCAAGGACTATATTATACATTTATTTATGAAAAGAAAACTGCTATTGAATCTTTTCACCTCTGTTCATAAAATGTCTTAATTGTTTGCACAAAATGATGGATGAAAGTATCGATAAGAGTGTGGATAAATACCAGCATCAAGAAGTAGTTTCAGTATCCATAAAATCCTAACGATACCCCTCCCTAACTGTATGTAGTCCTGAACGTGCCGTACTGCTAATCGAAGTGTCACAACACACACAGTCATCCTGACTTACCGGACTTACCATTGTCGAACGCCAGAAACGTGGCCTCGTACACATTGTTTTTGACGTACATGGACTCCCGGTCGAGCAGCGCCATGGTGGTGATCTGCCCGTTGGTCCTGTTGATCTTCAGCCAGTTAGCTGGGTCTGACAGCTTGGAGTACCTGCACACACACATCATCAAGAGAGAAAGCCAGATACTTTAGTAACACAAATCCACGGAAACACATTATGTAAACGCCAACTGTTACTTAACTTCCAGCAGATTCCTTTATTTGTGGATCCAAAGCACCCATTATCAGCTTGAATGTTCATTACCATAATAAGCAACAATACCAGCCAAGCACCTTTGAAATATTACAATGACTTGGAGAGCGGAACATATGCTCACAAGCTTATTATAGCAGCGGCTCATTAGCATGAAGAGCGAGTTAAACCTGAGCCCATGTGCAGAACAGCCGAGCTCTTCACAACTTCACTGCTCTTTGTACTCCCACACCGCCGCCCCGGCAACTCTCATCGCTGTCACCGATCGATACGTCAACCGTGTGGAAAGTGACAGTCGTAAATTAAAGTCTATAAAACCCATTTACAACTATGACAAGACTTAACAACTGGCTAAGCGGAGGTGGCGCTTATCTCACAGCTCCTAATGACAAATGGTTAATTGAGGACAGGCGAGGAGTCTCACAGGTGGGGAGATGGTCAGCATGGTGACAGGAGGTGGAGGTGAAAGACCAAAGCAACACAAAGTGAGAGATATCCGAGGTGTGTTTCTGAATGTAAGCGTGGTCGGAGGTAACCGTGATGAGGGGGGAAGGGGGCTTAATTAAAGCAGTGCGTTGGAGGCTGGTTACCCAGAGCCTCACAGACATGGAGAAAGCTAATTCCACCTCCAGCTGAAGACACACACTGCTACACACTAAGCTAATCCTTCGACATATCCTTCACATTTTCATTCTTTAAAGTAACTGGATGAAAATAAATGTAATTTCTAGTGAAGGAGATTGTCATGCAGTGTTAGTCAGGATCTGATGCTCCCCTGCAGGTTAGACTCTAGTGTTCGCACGTCATGCTGCTTCCTGTGCCAACAACATGTCCCTTCCTGCTTTCTTCATGTGCCGCTCGCAGAGCTAAGTGTCTCTCTCTGTCTCACTCTGCTGACGCCTGCCGTGACCTTTAACCCTTCATGTTCTGTTCGGGGTCCTGGAGATTTTTTACATCTCCAAAAACATGCCCTGCGTTATAGTTTTATCAGCTTTGATTCTATATGACATGTTCTTATTTTATGAAAATTGCCTATAAACATGATTTTCAACTGACGATAGAAGCCCTCTAGGGAAGATCACGCTGCATTTATTCTGCTTTGAAAACATTTTATTTGGGACGTCCCTTTCCAGATTCTAAGTCTATTTGGATTTCTGTTAACAAAGTTTGATGATGGTTTGTTTATACGAGGTGTAACCGGGATCAAAACCATGTGCTTACTGTAAATGCCAACAAAATTGTCAAACTATTTTGTGCTAATCCAAAGGTACTTATTTGGTTTAATATCATGGCTTTACATTCATTGCATTTTGATGGAAATATAAAACAATGTTAACAATGGGAAGGTTAACCTTATGTCAACCTAACCCGCAGAGTAATGACCTCTTAGCTTAAACTCCATGAATTCTACCCTTAAAAGGCACTGCGCTGATTCTAACACAAGTGTTGCATTACAAACTGATGGTCTGTGCTTTGACAGAAGAGGGGAGCATCAAGGAAAAGACGTTGTTAATCACAATGTGGGAATGTGGAATAAACCTTTATTGACACAAGAGAAGGCTCTTTTAAGAAGACTGTTTTAGTGAACCTTATTCTGTTTTGTCAAGTTTATATGAAGAGTGGTTTACGATGAGTTGACAAGGCCGCACACAGCTGCATTTTATCAGCCATTGCTGGGTGGAAACTTTAACTTCCTGCTGAACCGTAGGGTGGATGCATCCTGTGAGACTCTGCCTGAGGACTGAAGCTCAACAGGCTGCAGAGACCTTGTGTAAATGTCAGAACGTCTCAGCCTACGCTGTTTCGATTTTGACCTTATTTTAATATGTCTTTTTGAGTCTCCCTACTTTCGCGAAAGTGCAATACTTAATTGCTGGAGTATTACTGAAATCAAAAGCCCTAAACTAAGACCTTTATTATGAGCATATCATTTCACAAAAATGTCATCATTCTGTCGGGTTAATATTCTAATACAAACAGAGAAGAACACATAAATTAGCTGCCACCTGAATTCCATCTTACAGTGAAATCAGCCTCGATCATCTTAAGAATTTCTGAAAGCTAAACAAACCTCCAGCTGGCTCGGCTCCAAACCTCTGCTAACTCACAGGCCTCTCACTCATTTCTGTGGGAGCTGGTGTCTGCGTTCGCGTGCGTTTGAGAGTCTCCCGCTCTACATTCGGGTGTCTTTTTGTGTGAGCTTCAGCGAGGGTTCAAGCCAGGTCACCTCAAGGGAATACAGCAGCAGAGATGAGGCTGTCTGAGCATGAGCTGAGCGTCTGCTGGCACGCTGCTTCGGAGAAGAAGACGGCAGCTCTGAGCTCCCGTCAATAACAAACGCACAGACTGACAGGGAAGAAAGTGACAGGGTCATCGGGAGCGAAGGGGAGGGGGGGATGAGAGAAAAGAGAGTGAAAGAGGAGTTACTTCTCTCAAAAGGCAGAGCTACTCAGCCAACTTGCATGTCTTTGTAGGAATAGAAACCCGGCCGAACTTCTCCCACTACCTCCCTCGCTTTCAATTCAACACACTTCCCAGTGGAAGAGGCCGTCCTCTGACATTAAGAAAAATCAATCCCTCCTGTTGCAGCTGCCTATGAAGTGGAACGGTGCCGCTGGACCTCAGTGGGCATGGGGGGGGGGGGGGGTTTCTGTCACAGGAGGTCGATGCCTGGATGGCACAATGCCCGCTGTGTGTCACCCTAGTTAGGAAGGATGGAGTGGGGGATCAATGAGGAGGAGAGAAGAAAAAGATAGGGATCCAAGGAGGGCAGATACACAGTGTCCGACTCATTACAGGATGACCTCTTCACACCAGTCGCCTGGCAACGGGGAGGTAACCGGAGATCGGGCTGTGGGCGGAGGGTCGGTGGAAAATGTCACGGACGACGGATACACTGTGGAGAAACTGCTCAGCGCTGACACTGGTGACACACAGATTGAGAAGAAGATACATGTAGTACGCAGAGGGGACATATTGGAAATGCCTCGCTGTAAGATATCTAACCATCAAGGTAGTATTTGGCCTTTGAGAAGCTTCGGTCCATTGTCAACAACTGACTGCAATTATTTTGAGAATCTCCTTTTCTAATTGTATTTTATTAAAGAAGTAACCAACAGAAGGTGCTTCGTACTAAACAGATAAGGCAGTTGGTAGTGACTGTAGGTGCCATTAATGCCGGAAAGTGGGGAAACACAGTTTTTCATTGTTAATATTTTGGCACTGGTCTTTGTTCATAATATTATTACCAATTATTTTGTGATCAGTCATGGGTTGGATTAGTTCAATCAGATGGTTATTGGCAGCACTCACGTAAGTAAATTCACTGGTGAGAGGGTCGCTGTAAACATTTTTTAACACAACTTTATGATAGCTGGATAATTCGAATGATATGTTTGTGCAATCATTAAATTAAGATTTTGTTAAACTGTTGAAGTGGACTGCCTACAAGTCCCTTCACTAAGTCACAGCGAATCCTGACCTTAGTTACATTATGTATAGATCATTCTTTGATCTCTGACACTACTTTTGTTTGTATTGTTTTTCCTGAATTTATTATTTTTTTAATTAAAATGTTGTTCAACGCATTTTCGGGTCTCAGCACGGATTTTTTTACAAAGGCAACCAGGTCCGACCTCAGCCTCTCAGAGACTTCTTGTTTGTTCCTGAAGTCGCTGCAGTAAGAGTAACTTTGATGCGTGTCACCTACAGAAAATAAAACTTCTTCACAAAATCCAAAGGCATGAATAATCAAAAACAAATGATTTCCTTGAATCTGAAGATTAAGTGGAGATTTAAAGACATAGGGAACATATATTATTTATGAAGGTTTCAAAATCCTATTTATAATATGTGGTTTGGTGATGCAATAAAGTTATTCGATTGATACTACATTTCCTTCATCATGCATTTTATATTAACTGACGCTTCTTCGCCTCGTTTCTTTTTATGAAATGTTTTAACGGGTTGAGTGGGAGGTAATTCTATTTCTATTTCTTTCATTTAAAGAGTGTAACATGTTTCCGTTAATACTCTATTTAGTTACAATAAAATAAGATATAATTAATATAAAGACAATTTGAGATTAGAACAAATCTGACTGATTGAATTTGAGTTTAACTGGTCGCTCAGAGTGAGAAAACAACAGAGAAAACAGCCCGGCTGCAGTTCTCCTAACATTGTACAGCGATCAGGAAGGATCCATTCTTAGCCTGAGCTCTGACTTTGTAACACTGATCATGAAGCAAAGGACCGCTTTATGCCAAATGAGGATCAGATCCAGTGTTTCATGTTTTTAGCTGAAGAGCTCCTTCAGCCGGTGCTATTCAGAGACATCCAGGGAGAGCGTGGCCCTGCTGCAGTGAGTTCTTTAAATGAACTGTTACTCAGGATGTTAAAATGATGATGTGCTGCTGATGCTTTTGTTGTTTGGTGCCAAATACTAGTGCAGTCATACTGATGTTTACACTATAGTGCTATCCCCTCCCCTTCATTTGTTTTGCCTTGGGATGTGTGTGTCTGTCCTATGTGAATGATGGCACTCAGTTTCCCCCCCGGAGGATTTATATGGTTAATCGTATGACACATGGCGGCATTAGCATAGTGGAGTTAAAGAGCAAGAAATTCCCCCCAAAAATAAAATGAGAGCGAATATTGAACTTATATTCATCAGATGGAAACAAGCAATACTTGTGGGAGCTGTGAAAATAATGAACTGTTCCTAACCAATACAACATGTCAGTTTTTAAGAGAATTTCAGCTTAAGGTGCTGTCAACTACGGAGAGCAATCACATTCCTCTTTAATTATCACACACATGTACATGTACTGAGCACAGCACACATAGTGACACTTAGTCTCTGCATTCAACCTGTCCTAGTATAAGGTGGGTCTGGTGCTTGACCAGGCAGGGCCCCAGGAAGTTATATGGAATTCAAACTACCAGAATATTCTCAGTATTTGGTCCGTTCTGGGACCTAAAGCTCTGACCCCCCGGTTCCCCCACAGACTTGGCCCCTGACATGCTGATCAGGACAGTTTTCTTATGTTGTGTCAGTTTGTTGATGTAGGACATTTGACAAACTAGAAGGGTTATCAGTGAGCGTTGACCTCTGCAAAGGTCAAGTGCGCTATCTCGCCATGTTGACAAAAGTGAAAAATAGCTTTATTAAATATTTATCCATATTTGGATCTTCTCCAAAATGTAATAATATCTTCCTTAGCCCATGCTATATCTTTTAACCAAGTTCCATGAATATCGGTAGTTTTTCCCATATCCTGCTCACAAACAACCCAACTGAAACCATAAGGTCCTTAGCATAGTTTTAGTACCTGACGAACTGGTGGATGAAGTGGTCGGGGTCCTGAGCAGCGAACACGGTCAGAGTGGTCCCGGCCGGCACCCCCTCCTCAAAGCGGATCAGCTTGGGGTTAACAGGGAAGACTGGAGGCTCGTTCACATCCTGGACCGAGATGGTGACCCCCGCTGTGGACTGGAGCGAGGACTGGATGCCGCTGGCCAGGTGGGCCTGGTTGGAAACCACCACGGTCAGCATGAAGGCGCGATTCATCTCAAAGTCCACGGGCTAGAGAAGCACCAAGGAGAGAGAGTGGAGGGGGGGATGAGTATAGCTGATTGCACGATTCATACTAACTGTGCTCCAATTTGAGTGTGATTCAGTGCAAACAATGTGAGACCAAATCATCAGGCCATAAGACTTTTAAACACATGAACTTTTGAAAGAACATCCATAACATTCACCTGTTTGCAACTTATATCAATATTCCAATAGCCGCGTTCACACCGGAGCACTTTTCCCACAATAGTTCACCAGAACTACGATATATTTGCGTTCACACCAAAAAGCCCCAGGAACTAAATCAGTTCATGAGAACCTTTTTACCCCCTTTTCCGTCCCTGCTAGAGAGCAGGCACTTTCGTGGGAGAAAAAGGTTCCTGTGTCTGATTGGCTGGGCGGAATGCAAACCACGCCACGTAAAACTCCCAAAAGGTTTTGTGAAGCCGTCATTTTATTATCCTCGTGTTGCATTATTAGCATTAGCCCAGCGCAGAAACGCAGAGAGACTAACTTGTGGCAACACAAAAGAAAACACGGGAGCGGTGGAGATGAGGAGGTGACGGCGTTCTGGAGATTTACTCGGAAAGCTTCAGTAGAAGCTGCTGCGAGTCCCAGCAGCTTCTACTGAAGCCAGTCCCCAACTCCGGGGACCCAAAGCGGAAGAAGAAGAAGTTACGACAGCGGCTTCATTTGCTTCATTCTCATGAACTAAGTTCTCATGAACCTTTGTGGGAAAAGTACTTGGTGTGAACGCGCCTATTGACTTGTATATAGACTATTCTGCACTATTTCTATTATATTCTATTTTATTTCATTTACTTGCACTTTTATCTGTTTCATTGTGCTGCACTGTTGGAGCCTGCGACCTAAGATTTTCATTGTCATAACTACACTAACTATGTACATATGAGAATAAAAGCCTTGAATCTTGAATCTGCCACCAGAGCAGATGGAAACATGCAAGACGTGAATAATATTAGTATTATTAGATAACAAAACACAATGTTTGTAGAGAAGCCTTAATGATCAGCTTGTTTTTTTTGTATTACCTTGACCACCGTCAGCATGCCCTCGTTGGTGATGGGGTTGGTGCGGATGGTGAAGTGTCCCGAGGGGTCTCCGCTGACGATGCGGTACACAGCGTTCCAGTTGGGGCTGTGGGGCTGATCCCTGTCCAACACTGTCAGGTTGGTCACGACCACATTCACCTTGTTCTCCGGCACCTCCCCTGAAAACTACAGAGGGGGAGGGGAGAGTTCATGTTAATGATGTAGCTCAAGCAGTCGGCTAATGCATGTTAATACGTTGATTTATTGAAATTATTCACATTTCCTTGCGTCATCATCAAGCATTTTCTGTTATTATGAAAACAAACCGCTTTTAAGGTCAGGTCAACAATGCTCATTACACAGAAAGCGGTAGCAAAACAAATAGGGGCGAAATTACACAAACAAGAGACCGAGAAGACATAATTGTTTCAATGTGGATAATAGAGAATCATATCTTCCATTATGTAAATGGTGTCCCTCTTTTCCACGCCACGTCTTCTCATACGAAACTCTTATTTGAACTAATGGATTTGTTCAATTAAGTGTTTACCCATTTAATTTAGACTCTGTGCATTCACCAAATCTAGCTCTTAATAAGCAATTAGATAAGTACTGTAATTAAGACAGGGTAGGAATAATCTTTGGCTAATGATCTTCATTATTTTGCAATCTCAAGCAACTCCCCTCTGAACTTACTCTGGAGGAAACTTGGTTACAGCAGCGCAGCCTGGAGATGGGTTTACAGCACAATAGTATTCATGTCCTTCTCTATAGGGGTTTATCAGTGGGATGGGCACCCTGAGACACACACACACACACACACACACACACACACACACACACACACACACACACACACACACACACACACACACACACACACACACACACCACACACACACACCACACACACACACACATCATCTACACAACCATCACGACACACACCTCCTTGTCAGGCTTGATCAATCCGATGTTCCTCTAGTGAAGCGTTAACTTTGTTTTGTGTGGTTGTGTCTGCCAGCTGGTCTGTTCAGCTTTAATGGGGCATTCATCATCGTGGGGATTGAAGCAGCGTCCAACCCAATCCAAAACATCCTCTCTTCCTTCCTCCTCCCTTCTCACACATCCTCCTCCTTCCTCCTTGCCCACTTCTCTCTCCTCCTCCCCTGCAGTACGACACGCTGATAAGCAGAGACAGATTAAATAATGCACTTTCAGGTCGCCTTGTGTGTGGGCTCTTCCTTTATTTTCACCCCAGGCTTTTGCAACAAACACCACCACAAACTTCCCAGGCTGGCGCTGTCAGACGGTCCAATGGAAAACGCTCTCAGATGGCAAACACTTAATGGTTGGCTTGTTTGTTATATTCTTGTGTTGAGACGCTTCTTAAATGGCCACTCTCACTCTAAATGTCGAATGTGTGTGACTCTCGTTGATAAGTCCCCACTAGAGATCATCAGACTTAGTTTCTGATTGGGTTTCGTGGTGATCTAATGTTGTTGTGTTGTGTGACAAAAAAGTTCTATGAAGGTTTAATCTTGAACGGGATTGTCGGTTTTTTTGAAAAATAAAATATATCATTAAACTTGAATTGAGGCTGCTAGGTCACAAAAGGTTTTGTCAGTTTCAGTCTACGTTGACGGCTTTATACACTTTTGTGCTTCGTCCGTTTGAAACATTCACCAAAAGGAGAACAGTTTTCAGACAGATTTGTAAGTTTTCGCGATAGCAGTACAGTGATGTCGCTGAAACGCTTGTCAGACACAGTTTTTGTGTAATGATTCCATGAA